TAAATGCTCTCTGGCTTTACTCTTGTTGTAGTTGCAGACGTTGGACAGTATGGGCCCCTAGTGTCCACTAGGGGGCCAGAAGGCTAAGTTAGCAGTTAGCTAGATTCCCGCTAATGAAGCCCTTGTTGCTCTCTTGGTGTTTCTGTTATTTCTTAAATCTTCTTCATATTTTAACATGAAATCAGAGTTTATCTGTCAGTGTGAACTAGAAGCATCTCCACAGAGTTGAAAACATCCCGCAGAAACTCTGAGCGGAGCTAAAGATGCTAACAGACTAGCAGCGGCTTCAGAGGAACTGTGGTTCTTAAAACTGGAGCTTCAGCTCAAACAGAGCTGAAACAAAGTCTGGTTGAGGCGATAAGATGCTGAGCTTCCGGTCTGAAGGTAGAAAAATATTTATGAAAAGTTAAATTATTCTGCAAAACAGTCAGAATGATGTTGATGTTTTAGCTGCAGAGCCGCGAAACTGAACTATTAATATCAGAGCAGGGCGGTTTCTGCCCTCTAGCGGACCCAGATGATAACTACACCTACTTGATAAAGTTAGAGCGTTTACAAACTACATTCTTTCCGGTGAGTACTTTCACATTAAGAGCCATAGAAACGAGTTCCTTTGTTAGCTTTCATTTGAAATAAGACATTTTACTTCTGTTGTTTTTCTCTTTGAAACAATAAACGTTTATTCAAAAGCAGCAAATTAAATTTTACTCATCTCAAACTGAAATGATTATCAATTCATAAAAGTATTTAAATAACATTAACAACCAATCTCTGACCCGGTTCTATCTCTGACCCGGTTCTCTCTGACCCGGTTCTCTTTGACTCTCTTGTGTTTATGAAATCAGTTCCTACATTCAGAGACTCAATCTGAAATGTTCTTTAGAAGAAACTTCATCTGGTTCTGATGTTGAAGCTGCAGCTTGAATCCGTCTCAGGATTCGGATCAGAATCCAGTTCGTATCACCGATCAGCATCACTGTGGCTCCAGAACCTGGCCTATCTCTACCTACAGGCCGGAGGAGGCCAAGAGGTCAGAGGGCAGAACCACAACTGGACCTGGTGCCGTCATGTCGATGTTTTTTAGATTTAATCTAAAAATTAAAGAATTTTTTAGATTAAATCTATCTAATGTAGAATTAGATTTTGAGATTTAATTTATTTCTTTTTCTTGCTGCGAATCTCCGGTGAGTTCTGTGCTATAATTAGCTCGTTAGCTATCGATTAGCCACAAGCTAATGTTTTGCTGTTTTGTATTAAAGGTTGGATTGTCATGAAATTTTATAGTTTAAAGTTGAAAGGAAAAAAACAATCGGCGATACTTGTTTATGGGTCAGAATGCATGTTTTACATGATGTTTGTAAGTGAATTAGAAATGTTTCTCGCTAATATTCTGCTAATATTGCACCTTTTCTTTTGAAATGGTGACACTGATGAGGTATTTAATTTATTTCGCTGTATGGAATTTAAGAGTGCTAAAAAATAAGATATTGATGTAAATTCAGTGAATATTATTTTTGTGATGTTTGTTGAGTTAAAAGACAAAAGTTATTTATCACAAGTACAAATAATTTTATCTACACGGAGAGGAGATAAAATTTCACTGAGGTGACTTAGAGTTGCATAATAACACTAAAGTGAAAGATATTTCTGCTACATGCAGGTTGTTTTTTTTGTGTTGAGGAACAACTCATGAAAAACAGCGAGCCAGGATCCACAAGATCAGATTCACATTGTGTCCACTACGATGCCAAAGAAGAACCTTCTGTTCCACTAGATGGGTGGGATTGGGTTAGGGTTAGCTACAACATGACATTCAGATCTGAAAACTGAACTGAAACCGAATCAAAGGAAAAGAAACCCCTGAACTTGACTGACTTGACTTAGGACTCCTAGAGGAAAACATTGACTATTTTGTTCTGTTCGTGTATTGCCAAAATGTGTAATAAATATGTGTTTTGTTCAACTCTTTGTTTCACTTTTTCCTCCTGAGATGAACCTAGTTTCTGATACGCTAATTGATCATAAAGATTTATAGTCACTGATTCCCTTGTCGTACGTGACTACCAGGTTAGTAGACCTTACATTTATGATTAGAGTAATAATAAATACAAAATGTTTAAATTCTCAGTAAGCAGTGACCAGACTCTAAATTTGTGTGTTCTCTCTGCAGGTTCTTATTTTGAAATCTACCTGGGTAAAATCAGAGACCTGCTGGACGGTGAGTCTGTTCTCCCACTTCCACGTTCTGACCTTCAGAATCCACATTTTACTGAGGATCTTTCTCAATTCTAGCACCAGCTGAGTTTTGAGATCTTTGTCTTGCTTTCAGTGTCGAAGACGAACCTCGCTGCATGAAGACAAGAACAGAGTGCCCTATGTAAAGGTCAGAAAGACGAGTTTCAACTTCTTCAATGAGGGTTAGATCTGGTTTGACACAAACATATTTTCGATGTTTTTATCTGTAAATGATGTTGTTCCAGCTGTAACGGGCCTCTCTGTTTCAGGGCTGCACTGAGCGCTTCGTGTCCAGTCCTGAGGAAGTGATGGACGTCATCGACGAGGGAAAGGCCAATCGGCACGTGGCAGTGACAAGTACGTAAACATATTTATTTATCACATTTATTCAATTATAACTTTTTACAAAAACAGAAAATATGTAGAACAAGTCTAAGACATGTTTTGTGCCTGCTGCAGATTTACCATTTTTGTTTTATACTGAAGTCTAATTCTGCAATCATGAACTTTTTGATCTGTGTTTTGTTGCTGCATGCCTTTATTGATATCATTTAGACAAATAACACATTTTCTCTCAGTTTCAGCTGCTATACTGTGGATTTTCTGTGCAAAATGAAATTTCACATCAAAAAGTACAAAAATAACCTGAACTACCTACTGTTGGCCAGTAGGGTGCAGTAAGCCCGAGAGCATTTAAAATGCATTTGCAAAAAAATATTTGGTTAAAAATTATTTCCATAAAGATATCAAAAATCTTGTTCAAAAAACATATTTTTTGCTGGTAAATATTTCCTGTTAGGGTTTATTTTTCCTACTAAATATCTTTATTATGTTGTTGGATGGAGTAAAATCAAACGATCTTTTGGGAAATTGAGTTTTTCTCACCAAAAAACACAATCTGGTAAATGATTATATGTGCAACTGCTGCAGAAAATGGATTAAAACAATCTTTTAATTGACTTTTTTATCTTCTGTCATCATTGCCTATGTGGCGTTGGCTTATTTAAAAGGGACTTTCTTTACATAAAATGAGCAGAAGATGATTTATGATGATATATATTTTTTTAATGAATGATTTTTCTGTTTTCTGCTGCAGACATGAATGAGCACAGCTCTCGCAGCCACAGCATCTTTCTGATCAACATCAAGCAGGAAAACGTGGAAACGGAGAAGAAACTGTCAGGGAAGCTTTACCTGGTGGATCTGGCCGGCAGCGAGAAGGTCAGTCTGAGATTAATGAGGTCGCATTCCTCTGCTGAGCTGTGAGATTCATAAAGTCCGATTGTTTGACAGGTCAGCAAGACCGGAGCAGAGGGGGCGGTGCATCAACAAATCTCTGTCGGCGTTGGGGAACGTCATCTCGGCTCTGGCTGAGGGAACGGTGAGTTGGTTCTCCCTGAGGTTCTGATGGAGCGAGTTGGAGATGGTTGATCTGATCCCGGTTCCCCCAGAAAACCCACGTGCCGTACAGAGACAGCAAGATGACCCGGATCCTGCAGGACTCCCTGGGAGGAAACTGCCGCACCACCATCATCATCTGCTGCTCGCCGTCCGTCTACAACGAGGCCGAGACCAAGTCCACGCTCATGTTTGGACAGAGGTACTCCTGGCTTCTTCTCTGGAGCGACAGCTAAAGGAAACACATTCAGGTTTGGATCTCGGCTGCTTCTAAGAACAGTCCAAACGCTGCGAAAAACTAATGTTAATGTTATTTTGTTGTTGTTTTCTTTGGTTTACTAAAAACCTCCAGAATGTAACGTCACAAATTAGCAAACAGTTACTAGCAACCCAAGCTGAGCTTCAGTATGTTTGATACAATGGCTGCTGGAAAAGACAAGTGTTTTGTGGTTGTCTTACCATCCAGAAACCATTCGCTGCATTCTTGTTGCTTGTGCTGGAGGCTCTTCTTGACTTGTTGTCTGGAGGCCGACAAATATCATTTCAGGGGCCTCAAATGGCCCTCAGCCGCAGTTTGGACACCCCATCTGTAGATGTTGATTGAAGTAAAGTTGGGGAATTTAAAAGTGATGCTCCCTTTTTATTGTGTCCTCTCTGCAATGAATTGAGAGTGTAATCAGCTCCACATCATGATACTGCCACCACCATGCGTGTCAGATGTCATGTATGTTCGCCTGCAGTGTTTCAGATCTTTGGGTCGTGTGCAGGTGAAAGTTGATGTCAGTTCTGCAAACTAACTCAGGTGTTCAAAGTGAGGGACGCGCCATTTACGGCCCGAGGACTGATTTAGTGCGGGACTCAAAGCACAAAAAGAAAATAAATCAGGACAAAACTACAACTTTTAAATGAAAATCATGTTAGATGCATCACACAGTGATCATCTGTTTCTAGCTTTTGGTTCCCTTCTATTGTCATGGTATCTAGAACATGCACTCATTGTCTTTTACTCAAAACTTCACATCTATGAACTAAAATCTGCTTTTAGTTGCTGGATTCAAGCTTCCAGACATTTTATTTTTATTAGCAAGAGTAGATAAATACTTTTTCAGTTTTTTTCATTTACAAAAAATTCTACAAAAAACCCTCTGAGTAATTTTACTTTTTAAATTTAAATATTTATGCTTTGTTTATTGTTGAGTATATTAAAAGAATCACAACAATTTTGTGATTTTATTTGTTAAAAATGTCATTTTTTGGCTTTCAGTTATTTTGTCCCAAATACATTTGAACCCTCCTGATGTGCAGATGTTGTGATGGACTGATGGTGGCCATCTTGTCTGTTCAGGGCGAAGACATCAGAACACGGTGTGTGTGAACCTGGAGCTGACCGCAGAGGAGTGGAAGAAGAAATACGAGAAGGAGAAGAACAAGAGCCTGAAGAGCGCCATCCAGAGGCTGGAGGCTGAACTGAACCGCTGGAGGAACGGTACGTGGAAAACGTTACAATCTGCTGAGTCTGCATTGTGTCCCCATCCTCACTCTTCCTCATCCGCTGTTGGTTAGTAACCACAGAGACTCCTCCTCCTCCTCTGTAGCCATTGTTCTTTAAATCTTGCTGAGTTTGTTGCTGATGGAAAATGTTCCTAAGCATTAAATCAACATCCCCTCTACACACACACACACACACACACACACACACACACACACACACACACACACACACACACACACACACACACACACACACACACACACACACACACACATACACACACACACATACACACACACACATATTCTAGCAGCTGCAGCCAGACCTGGACGGGTTTCTGGGTCTCTACGGCCTCATCATGACCGCATGTTCATCAAGGAGAAGGTGGGTCCAAACCCAACAGAACCAGGCAGAACCAGGCAGAACATGTTTCCATGACGGGTCAAACCAGGAACACATTATTATTTAAGACCAAGATTATCATAATCAAGAAGACAGATCAGTAAACTTTACATTTTAATGACCATTTAGCTCTAGAACTGGAAAACATTTTAAATATCTAAAATCAATAAAACAAGTGATAAAATATCAAAACTATCCTTCAATAAAAAGCTGGTTGAGATTAAAACCTGTTTGTTTGGTAGAAAAAGGAAAACAATAAACAGTTTTCCTGAAACATTAAGTCATTTTTCTGCCTTTAACACATTCAGCAGTGAATACATGAGGATGATTGACAGCACTAAGCCCCTCCTCCTGGCTCTGATGGTGGTTTTGCTGCAGGTCGATATTTTCACAGTCGATCAGCTTCATAACAAACTGTCATCACAAACATATTTTTATAAATTCGTTCTTTCAGACGGTTTGTGAGTTTTCAGAACTTATTCTGGACCTTCTGTGTTCCAGTTCTTCAGAACCAAAGCGAAGGGCTCAGACGATGGAACCTACGCTGTGAGTCCCGTCGTCTCGTCGTGTCGCAGCTCAGATTTCTCTTGAATTCGTCTTCATGTGTTTTTGTGTTCAGTCTCTCAGCAGAGCGACGGGCGACACCTACGAGCCGCTGATGACCGACCCGGAGCGAGGACGGGTGAGTCCAGATGTCCGGTTCTGAAGGTTCTGGTTCTGTTCAGATGCTTCATCTTGTTTCTTCTCGTTGTGTCTCTCAGAACGCCGAGCGCCGGATGACTCCACCTACACGGTACCAGACGAACCGTCCAGAACAGAACCGCAGTGACCTCTGGATGTTTATCTACTGGTTCTGTTTGGGTTCAGGGCCTGCAGAAACGATCAGAACCGACGTATAAAGAGCTTCCTGTGAGGAGAGGTGAGCGTCTGAACACGATGAGGTTCTGTCAGGTTCTGGAACCGGTTGCATTAAAAACTCTTGTTTTTGCAGCGTCAGCGGAAGAACGAGCAGGTTTACCAGGTGAGTACCGACCGGACCGGACCGGACCGCTCTGGACGGACGCTCGACCCGTCCAACATCTGCTCTGATCAGCTGATTGATTAACTGATGGGCTGCTTTCAGGGTCTGAGCTCGGTCACCAGAGACACTACGACTCCCTGCAGATGCAGCCGCTTCCGGCCCGCTAACCGGGTCGGTTCTGAAGAATCCTGCAGATCAGCACCAAGTTTTACTCTGATTGGACCCGACGGCTCCTCAACATCTGGAATTTAAGGCTTTTCCCACCAGATTTGGAGCTTTAAAATTCTGAATATGACAGTTTTTTTATTTAGAGCTCATCAATGTGATCAATAGTTTGATTAGTTTAAATGGAAATCAATAATTCCACTCATTAATTAGCATTCGATGCCGAGAAGTTTCACTGTTGTGTAAATATTTGTATGAGGATGAAAACAGGAGGAAACCTGCTCAATAGTTTCTGCTTCTAATGTCTGACTGTGTGAAGTCTGAAGAACCTGAAGTCAGTTTGAACTGGATGGAAACACAAGAAGGACAATTTAAACACATTTAGTCAAATCAGAGATAAAATCAAATGAAAATAGATATTTAGGTTAACATTAATATGATGGACATTATGATCATTTAATTGTATTCTACTGTTTTTAATCATATTTCTTGTCTCCTATGACTCATTTTTATTAACTTTTGTTGTTTTTTTATGTTTTCCTGAGAATTTCTGCTGTTTTAGAATGTTATTAAATGTAAAGCTTTTATCTGATGATTAAATGAGTCTTAAATAAACATCTGTTACTCATTTCTGCCTCCTGGTGGACAGAATGAAGGTTTGCAATAATAAAGATTTACCTATAATTTATTCAATTTTGCAGTAGAATTAGTTACTTATTTAATTGGAAGATTGTTCACTCATAATTTGGGTAAATGTTATAATGTTATCAGTGAAATAATCTGCATGATTCATCAATATTAAGAAATAATTGACTGAAAAGAAGCTCATGTGTTTTGCTGAAGTTATTAGTCACTGGCTCCTCTAGTGAGGGACCAGACCAAGAGCAGCAAGAGACCAACTAGAACTAGAAGTCAGGGTTTCCTCTGCTTCATCAGCCTGCCGGGCTGATACTGTTGTACTGTAGTGAGAAGGGCGGAGCCTGAGGTGAGTCAGGAACAATAAGATCAGGAGAACAGATTATTCACTTTTTATCAGTAAAACAATCAGAGGAGGGCTTCACAACCCTCCTCTGAATTATGACACTCAAAACTTTGTAATATTTTAACCCAAAAACGCAGTGGGGGCCGCTGATGGACGACCTTATGACCCCACCCTGAAGTGTTCCCAGGAAATTCCTGCATCAGGAATTTTGTGTTAAATGATATTTACTAGTTTGATTTGATCTGAAACCTTCACCTTCCATTTATGACACATCAGAAAAGGTTCCTGCTGGATGGATCTTAATGTTTGGAGGTTGAACCTTTTTTTTTTCAGGCATGTTGGCAACGAGAAACATTCCTGCACAGCAGAGACAGAAACTGGTAAACATCTTCCAGTGAACGGCTGCAGCAAGTTAAAACCTGTTTGTAACTCTGCAGGTTTTTAACTTTGTTGGAAACGTTTGAGACAAACTAGTTGAAAAACTTAAAGCCTCCATCTAAGAGAGGCCAAAGATTAAAGAAGTTTATGTTCAGTAGTGAAGGAGGATCAGGTGAGAATCATCATGGAAAGACCAAAGATAAAATGAAAAATAAAAAGATTAGAAACTGAAAAAGTTGTGAAATCTTTGCCATTTAGGAAAATGTTAAACTTTAAAAAATGTTGTGGACTATGTTTCAGATTCTTTATTTTATTATTATTATTATTATTATTATTATTGATTTGACTTTTAAATGAACTTTCTGGCCAAAATTTAGCATCAAAGCTAAAAAGATAATTAAATGTGTAGCAGTTGAATGAAGTTAGCTAATGCTAATGCTAATTAATGTCTATGGTGACCTTTGACCTTCCTGCCAGGGTTCTTGAGTTATTCTGAAATGTTTGTCTTTTTATTTAGAAAAGTAAACAAAAACTATTTTAAACAGGATCAGGAACTGAAGTCGGTCATGTAGTGAAAGACGACTGGATGGATCCGACTGACTGAAACTTTAACAACAAACATCCACAAGTTACTGGATGATAAAAACTATTTCCTCCTTTCTGGGTCTTTTTCTTCTGCCCAGATCATTGATTAATATCTGGATCAATACAGTGGAGATGCAGAGGAGATAATAATGTTCCTGTAAGCTGATCACAGTCAAAAGACGTTTTTACACCAAGATTGAATCAAAACTGACGACTTTAAAACTTTTACACAGTAATGTTTCATTTTTAGATGTGTTCATGAAGAACTGGAGGCTGCAGAGCCAACAGGCTGGAAAACCATCAATCTGTCCTGATCAGAACCGAACCAGAACCAGGCACAATAGAAAGAAAATTATTTTAAAACTAAATGAGCAAACTGAGGAAGGAGGAAACATTCCTGCACAGCAGAGACAGACTGATAAACATCTTCCAGTGAACGGCTGCAGCAAGTTAAACCTGTTCAGGAGGTTTTAATTTTTTTGGAAACGTTGAGACAAACTAGTTGAACAACTTAAAGCCTCCAGGCTAAAAGAGACAAAGATTAAAGAAGTTTATGTTCAGTAGTGAAGGAGGATCAGGTGAGAATCATCATGGAAAGTTTCCTTATATCAACATTAAACAAGATTAAATAAATGAATAAAATCAGTATTTAATATGAACATGTCAGATGGAGACACATCAACATTTCAAGGTTCTTGGTTCTGTTGGCTCAGATCATAACAAGCAGCAACTATTATTACTTTTATTTGTTAAATTTCTTTATAGATGAAACTGAAAATCTCCATTAATTTAATCAAATATTGATTAAAATCCTGAATATGTTTCAAACTTAAAGAAGCTTTAAACCTAAACGTGAACTTGTTGTTTAACATTTATTTCCTGGTTTCTGTCATTCAACAGGTGAACACACCTCTGCTGTCAGGGGCGGAGCCTCAGGTGGGTCCCATTAAAGTTCTGGAGAATCGGGTGCGGTTCTCCAGTTCGCTCCCACTGGGTTTGTGTGAACAGAAGGAGAAGCAAAGATCTGATCAGGTGAGTTTAATCCACAATCTTCTGGTTTCCAGTCCTGACTGGTTTCTCTCTCTGAGCTGCTGGTTCTGGTTCTGGTTCTGGTTCTGGTTCAGCTGAGATGTCTGGTTCCTGGTTGGTGGATGAAAATATTTCGATATGAAGTCAATAATTTATTGATCAGAGAGGAGGCAGAGGACAGCTGATCACATTTCAATCAATTATTGATCAGTAAGAAGTGATTATGGTGAAATATAAACACAGCGCCCCCTAGAGTATTTAAAACATCCACTGCTGTTATTTAGACTTGAACTGAGTTAAAACATCAAACCATCAGAACCAATAAAAATTACTATTGGACCCGTTTTACACTCCCAGCAGGAAGTCGGCCATTTTGGATCAAATGTCTTGTTTGTTGTTTTTTAATGTAAAAACAAATAAAAAATGTCAGATTTGTCCTGGAGAGCTCAGAGATTTAAGCAGAAGAAAACTGTCCTCCACTCTGATCGTCATTCATTTTCTCTCATTTTGATTTTTAAATGATTGATTAATATTAAATCACAATCTGCTAAACTATTGGTTGAATCACAGCGATTTCTAATAATCTATATCACTGTTAACACTTAAAAGGGAACCTGTTTGTATTTTATATTTCAGTCACTTCATACATTCAATGACAGTGATATTAAATAATTTTGTTGTTTTTAACAAAGTTTTAAATAGTTTTAAATTTTGGTGAATGAGAGAAATTTACAGAAGTTTGGCTATATGTGAATCTTTAGAGTTTTATTTTTACTCTGTTTTTGATTCATTGTTAAATGTTTGGATTTTTCTATTTCATATCAATGAACTGAGTCTGGTGGCAGGATTTGACCTTTGACCCTTGTGGTTCAGTTGTTTCCCTTCTCTGTAAAAATGTAGCAAACTTGATTGTGAAAGAGACAAAACGGCGCCACCTAGAGTGACTCCAACACGATCAACATCTTTCCACAGTTTTTTATTGTCCAGTAGTGAGAAGGGGCGGAGCCTGAGGTGAGTCAGGAATCATAAGATCAGGAGATCATTCACTGTTTATCAGTGAAACAATCACAATAAAAGTTTATAGTTGCTTTAATAAGATTGGATAATTTATCTAAACTTTTAAAGAAAGAGATTAAAGTCTGACTTTAAATCCAAAACCATCTGAAAGTTTTTACACCCTTTAAACATCATCATATTTTCATTTCCCAGTTTCCTGATATTCATGTGAAACCAAAACAAAGTTTAATATTAATGATATTATTTAAGTTGTTGCTTAATTAGATAAAATCTGATGAACGGTTTTCAGATTTTCAACCAAATTATTGATCAATCATTTCAGTCCAGGCTGCAGGTGGTTCAGTTGAAAGCTGATCAAGCTGTAAAGAATCAACAGCGCCCTCCAGAGGAACAACAGTCTAATGACATCTGAACCTGGTGACATCACAAATCCACTTCCTGTGGTTCTTGATTAGTGCAGTTTGTTGATCTTTAGGTAAAAAGTTTTAGAACCAGGATCTCAGTT